AATAAATTCTCCAATTTCGTTTAATCGTGGGAAAAGAGAGATAAAGAGATATAAGAAGGTGGTCTATGTGATGAGGAGATCCAGAGATAAAGAAAATCGTTATTGCAATTTAAAAATAAGGCCAAATTAGAAAATAACACCTGTTAAAAGACCGTATTTTGATTTTAACACCTTAACATTTCAAAGTTTTATTATAACACCTACTAAAAAATTAAAATTTTGGTTTCACCACCAGAAAACGGATTCCGTGACGGAAATTTTGCATGGGCCCCACAAATTAGCTTACCCTCCAAATTTCTTCCTATTCATTTCGACTATCACCCAAAATAGGAAAATGGTAGAAAAATTATGAAAAGTGGTCCACCTAAATTATGTATTAATGCTAACTGCCCAAAAAACTGTCTCAATAAATGATTAAATTTAACTCAAATTTAATACTCAAACAACAACAAACAACCCCTCAAAAAATAAACTTGTTCATCATCTCTCTCACTTTCTCTCTCCTCTGGGTTTTTGTTTTCTATTAGCAAAATCGATCGAAAATTCTTCAAATTGCAGCAGATCATGCCATGGTAAAACAGTAAATTACCCATTTTGATTCGTGGATTTGGGTTCGCGTGGGTGAGCTAGGTGAGTCGAGAGTTTTGGTTTCGCGGTGTGATGAGTTTGTGTTCGTGGTGGTGGGTTCTGGATTTGAAGGGTGGGTGTTTCTAGGTGGCGTCGGTGGTGGTGCTAGGTCGTTCTGTTTAACTTTGGTGGTTTTGTGGGTTGGTGGGTGGTGAATCGTGGGTTAGGTGGGTGGTTCGTGGGTGGTGGGTCGTGGATTTAGGTTCGCGTGGGTGAGCTAGGTGAGTCGGGGGTTTTAGTTTCGTGGTGTGATGAGTTCGTGGTTCGTGGTGGTGGGTTCGTGGTGGTGGGTTCTGGATTTGAAGGGTGGGTGTTTCTAGGTGGCGTCGGTGGTGGTGTTGTCGCCGGCGAAGCAGGCAGGTCGCCGACGATCTGGGGATATTGATTACGATTGATTAATCACTGGATTGTGAAATTGATTTTCTAAAATCATAGAAAGCACAAATAAAAGTTAAAAACATCTTACCTCAGAATGTTCAATGGAGGAGAGAGGTCGAAAGCTGATTCAATGGAGGATTCAGAATGCGCTTCAATGGAGGAGAGAGAAATGGAGGGGGAGGGGGGTGGGGGGAGAGAAGGGGGGTGCAGTCTGTGGAGTGACTCAGTGAAGCAATTTGGGAATGTGGGTGATAGTCGAAATGAATAGGAAGAAATTTGGAGGGTAAGCTAATTTGTGGGGCCCATGCAAAATTTCCGTCACGGAATCCGTTTTCTGGTGGTGAAACCAAAATTTTAATTTTTTAGTAGGTGTTATAATAAAACTTTGAAATGTTAAGGTGTTAAAATCAAAATACGGTCTTTTAACAGGTGTTATTTTCTAATTTGGCCTAAAAATAATGTAGGAAGTGTGATATAAGGTGGTACTTGAAAGCTTCGAAATAACCAAATTGATAAACATGATTATTGGGCGGGCCGGGTCAAGAACAAAAAATCAGTCCATTGCTTGGGCCAGAAATTACGTGCCCAAACTTGCCTAAAATGGTCGTGCGGGCTTGTCGGACCATTTTTCAGGCCGGGCTAAAAAATCAACTAAAATTATATAAAAACGCATTCCAAGCCGCCTAAAAAATTCAAAAACTTGGGGCGGGCCTGACTCGATTTCGAGCCGAAAAAATTTGCCCTAAACCCGCCCAAATCCGGGCCAGGCTGACTTTGATCAGCTCTACAAATTGATAATTTTGGTAGGACTTCGGTCAAGGTAAAACTCGTTAGAATAGCTATAAGGACATGTTCTTTTGAGCAAAACTAATTGGCCTTAGCTTTTCACAACTTATTCATAGCCTAACAAGTAACAACTTAGTTTACTCATCATCAACATGAAGTTGAGGATCACATCCATGGTTGCATTATTTACATCGTTCATGCAAGCACAAACCACACCCTTAGCATCTCATTCAATGACTTTTGAATATTATATTGTCAACAACGATTGTTTAGGAAACTTTTAACGAATAATTAAAGATATTTTTTACACTTTTTTAGACTTGATCCAATAAGTATGATTTGATGACCTAATAGTTTTTGTTTGACCCAAATCACTTCATGGTCCTGGAACCAAATCTCACGTACATCTTACATGTATCTTGCTGTAATCTTTTTGAGCTTGGCGGGGATTCCATTGACCCCCTTTGACCTCCCCCGACTTTTAAGAGGTTATCAAGGAGAGTTATGGGAATTATTACAGTATAATTGTATTATTTCTGATTGCTTGTTGGTTACCTAGAAGTAACTAAGTAAGTCTCACTCTAATTAATTCACATTTAATGTCATTTAAGATTTAATGGCTTAAAAAAAATGTTTAGCCTTTTTTATAGATCTATTGGCATGATTTTAACTTCTAAGCCTTTGTTTGAAAATAGGATGTTTTTTCTTCAATGCTTTGGTCTATAATCAGCTCTAGACACTTTAAAATTTACTAATTTAGATAATTAGAGGTGAGAAAAGTGATGGTTATTTAATTTTTAAACTTCCAAATCCACCATTTAATAAAATAAATTAAATTGAAATGAGTGGATACATATTTAAATGCCCAATGGAAAGTTGACAAAGAAGACATTCTATTTAAAAAGAGAGCAACCATTATGTAAATATATTCATTTCAATTAATAAAACAAAATCCAACTCTTCCTAATCAAATTAAACTTTCTACAACAACTTATCAATGAATATGAACTAATAATTTATAAGCCATGATTAACTGAAAACCTACTATATAAACTTATCACCCCCTTATAAGTTGCAGACTAATCTAATTATTCTAAATGGCATTAGGTCAGATCGGGTCGGGCTGAATACTATAAGGTTCATTATTTTAAATTGGACCTAAGAATGGCACATGAGCTTAATTGGGTCACCTTCTAAAAATTACTTGTATATTGCAGCTCAACACGTAGCTTTGTGGGCTTGTGGGTTTGATTAGACCAACCCCAAAGCATGCAGACATGAGGCACAACCTACCCATAATCATCTTCATATCACCTGATCACTAGCTTTTCTTGTTAGGCCAAGTCCGAGGATAATGATGAGACACAAAGTTTTAATCTTATTATGTCTTAGACAACACTAATAACCCGAGATTTTAACCAACCAAAGGGATTAGTTTGCAAATTTTTGTTGTCAATTCAGTTTTTTTTACGTGCATAGATATGTAATGTGTTAATTAAAACTAATGACAAGACACAAGATAGGATAGAGAACTCTTACTAATTAATCATTACACGTAGCCTTAGAATTCCATGCATTTTCGTGAAAAAAAAGCTATGGTAGTTATCCTTATATTTTTTTTATTGGTTAATTTTTTATTTATTTTTTATGTAAAAATTAATTATAAATATTTTTTATTTTTAAAATATATTTTTTAATTTTTAATATATTTCATAATTAATTTATGAATTATTTTTTAATTTCAGTAATAATAAAAACTAAATCTTGTAAATTAATTTGACAAATTATTTAAAAAATTCAAAAATTATTTCAAAATTAATAAATGAATTTTTAAAATTAGATAAATTATTTATAATTAATTTTGGCATTAAAAAATAAATCAAAATCAACCAAAATAAAATCAATGCGTTTGTTGTATGGTTGGTCACACCGTGTGGCAGGGTTACTCGGTCGGTTAGCATGTTTTCTGTGTGGTTGGACACACTATGTGACCGGCTGACACACACCAAAACACTTAATGGTAGCTCCTGGCCGAGTAACTCTGACCAAGTAACCTCTGACTAAGTAACCCCTGACCAACCGAGTAACCCATGAATAAATAAACCCCGGCCACACAATGTATACGTAACTAGTCACATATAAAAATTTAGTATAATGTTAGCCATTTTAAGGATGATTACCAAGGAATCACATCCATTTTTATGTGTGAATCAATTCAAGAGAAATAGAGAATACTAAGCTAGCTGCTTCGTAATTTTGTATGATTGTATCTTCACGTAACTTAGGTAGTTGGTCTATCTATAGATTTAAGTTAGTAATTCAGCTACAAGTTAAATGCACTCTTGGTATGATGCGAGGTACGTATTAGCTAGGCCTAGTTCTAATCCATCAATTTAGTTATTAATTAATTAATAAACTTTCTTTTCTTTTCTTATTACAGTATTAATCATCAGTAAGCAACCTTTGTAGTATACTAGCACTTCATTTAGTTTATCAGTTTGCATAGATAAGACTTATGACCATGGTATGAGTTGGATTTATGATGAGATATGTCATGGTTGAGTTGAAACACATACATTAAATAAGAAACAAGACCAACACATTCTAATATTAGACTCAATAGTTTTATGATAAACATTACTCTGTATAAGATCAGATAAGCCTAATTTTCTATATTTATCTAGTGAATGAAGGCTCTAATTAGACTTACTAATTAATTAATAATACATCGAGGTTTAAAACATGAATTTAGAGGTCTAACCAACTTGCTGTAATAAACAAAAGTATGTACATCTTTAGTGATATGATTATGAACGAACCAGTCTCGGGATCCTATCGCAAGTAACACGATCCCTAAACCTACCTCTATTAATCTTCTTAGGATCAAAGTGAACATGCAACCACAAAATTCAAGGTTGTAGCTTAGTAAAGATAAAAACAGTGGAATTGTGTACACACATACATCTTACTAATGATCGCATCAACACATTATTTAATCTAAGTTTGGATTTGCATGGTTATGGAAAAAAAAATGTGGACCATAAAATAGAAATAGATTAAATCAATCTTTAGCGTGACATTCTAATCTACGGAAGTAAGCCATTAGAAGTCCAAGTTGCTTCCCCATTCGCTTTCCTTATCCTATTTCTCTACACGCCAACAAAATTGTCCCTCTTTTATATTTCTCCCACTTTTTTGGTATCTTTCTTAAATTAAAGAGTGTTTGTCTCAACGAAATTTCATTTGCTATTTTTCTTATGTTATCTACAATTATTTCTTCCTCACAAAAACATAAAACTTGTAATTAAGTAGGTTTTTGGCATTTGGAGTTGGCATCGTCTTTGCTACCTTGTATACAACTACACTTGCTTCTCTCCCTTGGTGATTGGTAATCTCATTCTCCTTTCTTTCGTGCGTGTTTATTAATTACTTTCTCTGTTTCATATAGCTCTTTTTTTTTTCTATCTCATACTTTATGTCACGTTACATATTAATGAACTTATTTTTATAGCCCAACTCTAGAGTGAACAAGTGACATTATGCCCTACTGCATGTTGGTTTGAAAATTGGTTATATCTATTAGCTATAAATATTGATGTATTGTAATAAATTACACTTTCAATTTTTTTTTTTTTTTTTTTTTTTTGGTGTATAAACGTAAAAAAACACTTGGTCGTGGAAGAAGTAAATGGACGATATTATCTTTTTGGTGATTCAATGTGCTTATGTATGTCTTATTATTTGTAGCACAGTCATAACTCTTTTAAGAACCACCAAACAATAATACAAAAGGCAACTTTGAAAATAACAAAAAGTATTACACGTACATAATTTAAGTCTCTTAATAACAAAATAATTTCATTAATAAATAGGTTAGTACATACATAGTACTTGTTTAATTTGGTTTATGGATTTATATCCGTTAATTGTATGTCTTTCATTTTAATTATTATTATTAGTGAATATAAAAATTAAGATAGAGACTAATTAAAAGTAAATATAAAACAAAGTGACATTTGGTTGATTAAAAGTGGAAAGGTAAGTCGAGACGTTCTTTTAAGGAACAAAATTTTAGATGAAATTAAACTTAAGCTAGGTATATGGAGACGAGGAGAGTACATAAATGGTGGTAAATTGATTTATAGATATGTGATATGTGATATGTGATATGTGGTGTTTTTTAGTTCCTTGCTTTAAATGGATAATACAAGGCCACAAAGTGCTGATTGATTAGTCTCAACCCCAACCCCAACCCCAACCCCAACGAACGGCATTTAGTAATTTTTGTTGGGCCTTGTTACCGAAAGCTGACTACATTTAAATCTAAGGGCCTACAATGAATTCTACCAGTCCATAAAAGGCCCATTTTTTTCTTCTTCCTTTCGAAAAAAAAAAAAAGAAGCTTTTACAGACTTTTTACAGAATTTCCTTCCCATATGGTATTATGGTGTTTCATGTCATCATGTTAAAACTAAATGACTAGTTTTGAAACAAGGTTTATTTTGGCTCAAAGTGCCATATTTATATTTCTTTCATTTAGTTTTACTCACTTTTCATTTTTATCCGTTTTTTCAAACTCTAATCACTCTTACTTTATTCTTTCTATGGTAATTTTTTATTCATTTTTTTTTAATCATCTAGAACCCTAAATTATAAGGCCCGATTATATTACATAGATCCATGTGTGACTTGTCTTGAACTCAATTTTAAGCCACTATGGATTTGACTTGTCTTGGATTTCTTTTTAAGCTACTACGTTACGGACTTACGGAGTACAGTATAATGTTGTGTATAGAGCTGGGCATGGGCCGTGTTAGCCCGCAAACGGCACGGGCACGACACAACATTAGCCCGGTCCGGAACGAGCCTGCCAGTGGCACAGCATAGCACGATGACCGAAGAGTGGGCCTCCCCGAACAAAATTTGGAAATTTCGACACGAGCCCACGGGCGGCACGCCAAGTCGGTCCGTGGCACGGCACACGGCACGACCTACTTTCCAATGTTAATATGCACCAATAGCTATTAAACGACTAGTTTTTTCCATTTCTACCGGCTAGTTTCTATTCCTAATGACTACTTAACCTAATTCCCTATAAATACATCACTTCATCATCTAATTTTTTCCACAATTCATTCATCAACTTATCTATTCTCTTATTATATGCATTGTTGTTTTTTGCTTAATAATAATAAAGATGTATGATAATAAAAAATAAAATTAATTATAATAATTAAAATAACATAAATAATAATAAAGAACTATAATAATAAAAATAAGTAATAATAAAAAACATAAATATAAATTAATAAAATTATTTAAATAATATATCGATTTACACACAAAAAAAAATAAATTATGGGCTACCCGACACGACACGGCATGTCAGGCACGGGGTGTGCCAATTGGCGGCCCGGCACGACACGACTTACCACCAGGCACGTCCCGCAGTGGCCCGACACGGCACAATGCCCAGCTCTAGTTGTGTATGCCACTATGCTTGACCTAGTCCCAATTTTTATGTTTTGTGCGTCAATGTCTCTAAAGCACGTAGGCCATAACATATCTCATTCCTTCCAAGTCAACCCATTATCAGTTCTTGTAATAAGCGTTTAACTAGAAATTTAAGTGTATCCTCAAAACTTTATGAATTAGTGCCTTAGTGGTCATTTGATTGACACAAGAGTATTTCAAAATTGTCATGAAGTTGCACGTATGTCATTTTCCTCTATCTACAATTAAATACTTCATAAATAATAAAGACGAAATTGTTCTAAATATAATTTCTAGTCTATACAAATAATTTTACGTCCAATTAAACGATCACTAATTAAAAATTAAATTCTGACATTAATTCTGCTAATACAATACTATGTTTTATTTTCGAATTCCATCATTTATGTGCGTTTTCGGTTGAATTTTCCTTGCGTAGTGAGATACATGCTCCTGCTTTTTAATTTCTCCAATTCCATGCTACTTTAACTGATTTGCTGTGTTTGTCATGCTTAATCAACTATATATAGATGTGAATGCTTAGCAAAGCTGTAGAGGTTTTAGTGCCAGTAGTTTTATATGTGCATAAACTTTATAGATATTGATATTCTAATATGGCATTTTTAATATTTAATTTTGTCAGAAATTGATGAAGTAAGCTGGAGTATAATAGAGTGTAGATATCTCTATATTATGGCAGGAAGCTTTAAGAAATGCATGGTGCTATGTTGTGGAAAACAACTTCCGGTAATTCTTCTTTATCTTACTATACGGATTAAATGGATCAATTGCCTCTTCGGATTAGTTAAAAATACTTGGCTACGGCTAATACTTGATTAGGGTGTTTCATAACTAACATTGAACTTATCTAAATTTATTTATTCTTCCTTTTTTTTTTTAAGGTTATAACAAGAGTCAATCAGATGAATAAATTAGATTTTAAGTAGATTTTGAAAATGCAAATAATCCTAATAAATAAATAAAATGTAAAACATAAATAAAACTACTCCGTATCATTTAAAATAGCCAATGGAGCTAATACCGAACATTGTTACATTGCAAGATAGATTTGCATCCAATCTTATATTCCTAATAATTACTTTCTACCCCTAATAATACATACAATTAAAGATGGCCAAAACCAATTACTATTATTAGATGATTCGATCCAAACTCTGCATACATCTGGGTAAGGGTCTATATAATTTTTATTTTTAATGTATTTAAGTAAATGGATTGACAAAAGATCGTAAATAAATTAAATTACATAAATTTAGTGCATATTTCAATGAAGTCATAAATATTTAACGTGTATACTTTTAATGAAGGTATGAAATCACGGGAATTGATCGTTTTGCCAAGCTGAGTCACTATAAAGCAACTTACTTTTAATATTAAAACAAGAATATCCTGTTAATATTAAAAGTTGATTATCTGGGATCCCTATAGTCTAACCAATGCAAGTGCATCGTCCAATAATTAGTGCTAGTCTTGTTGTATGCATCAGAATGGTGACAATTGTATTGCCCTTTCGCTTCTAATCCCTTCGTTTTCTAATGTCTTTTTCCATTTGACATATCTTTTAATTAGGTACATATAATTAAAATTTATAAAGCGTTACTAATTTTATAATACAGAGTACTTACAAATTTAATTAGACGAATTTAATAAAATCCGATTCTAAGTACTGTAGTACATATGGAATAAACATGTATCTGGACTACATATGCTTCATTTTCTTTATTACGGGATAGAGCGAGATCTCTGAAATTAATTAATTAGGAGTCTAAGACTCTAAAAGAGAAAACAAAATAGAAACCAAGAAAATGTATAGTTCTCCGTATATAAATGTGATTGCTATAATAAGACTGGTTCCAATATTCCAAAAATACACGATTTGCCGGCTTAAACTTAGCATAACATAACGCTTCTCGGTAATAATTGGATGCATTTTGTCTAACTTCTAATATCTCTGTCTCTATATTTTAAATAATTTGATTAGTAACGTAAAATAAAAAGGGGCTACGTAAATAGAAGGGGTCATAATAAGAGTAGTCAACGTTATCTCCTGGCCCCCACCGCAAGTCCATTAACCATAGTTTAATTAGTCACAATAATATTCCTTATTACTTATTAGAACCATTGTTGACTCTTCCTCATCAATAAAGCCACTATTTTTTTTTAATAACACAATAAAGCCACTATTAACATCTCTTTCATCTCATTTTCCTCATTTCTATAAATAAATACTTGTATATAGGGAGTAAATAAGTCAAAGACTAACTCAATTTAGCTTGGGTGATATACAACCCTTAATAATAGGAAAATTCAATATTTTTCATTTAAAATATCAAATAATCCCTCTATAAGTGGAATTGCTTAGATTACCTCTATTTCACCTAGATTTATGCCTTTATCTTAGGTCTTAGCAACTATCAAACATATACTTGAATATTTTTGCAAGCGTCTATAAAAATAATATACAGGTGTCTGTTCTATTCGAATTATGAAGCTTGAAATCAACCCTCTTTGCTTCACGTTAAGACTTTCAATTTGTTAATTTACAACTAAAATGAATTTTAAAACGTAAGAAAAAGTTATTTAGGCTAATATAAGTACAAATACGGTGAATGAAGCACCCTTTTATTTTATTAAAAAAAAATTCTAAGCTCTCCTACTTTGTAAAATGATACTTGTATTTAAATAATTTATAAGGACTTATATAAATTTCTAATATTTGAATTTCAATCGAGTAATAATATGTGTAACCTTTATAAACACTAAATAGATTTTCTAACTAATACAAGTATAAATTTGAGAATTCATTATAAAAAAGCGCATGAATTAATGTAACCAATGTCTATTACTTATTAGAATTTTCTTTATCAGCTTCTTATATTTAGCTTTTGTGCCTATCTTGCCATTTTGCTTGAATTTATAACTAGAGTGATGTGTATGTACTATCCTCTCTTAAATCCACACCTCGAGGAACGATAGAATTTGCGGTTTCCAAAAGAAAAGGAAACTGGCGTATAAAAGAGGTATAAGAACAATAAAAATAAATAAATAATACTCCAAAAAATATATAAAAAGTTGATGGTCCTTGTCGATTTGCGCAACTTTCCACAATAGAAAACCACAAAACACATGGCACCTCATCAATTGTTAACACCCCAAAAAAAATTTCACCAATATTTATTTCTTTTGACAAATCAAAGGAAGATTCATCATTTCACATCAACATTGAGACAATTTCATGTTTTTTTTTTAAAAAAAAAGTACAATATAATTAAGTTCCCTAATCCATATACTTTGCAACCCCTTTTGGGATCATTAAACTTAATTACCCTTTAACCATAGTTAGTGGATATCCTTTTCAATTCTTTTATCATAAATTTCTCCCCATATATAGATATCCACACTTTCTTACCAAAAGTGTGGCCACCCCATTTTCTAACATACATCACCTTCATTTCATTTTTCTCTCTCCTTAAAAAAAAAACCTCTTTCGTTATTATCTATCATCTTCTCTTCTCATCAATTACAAAATCAAAAGGTATTTTCTCTCTTTTTTTCAAAATTATATTTTGGACTTTAATGTTTGTATTTATCAAAATTAGAAATAATAATTTAGATAATTCAATAATTGACTTTTTGTTTTTTCTTTTTTGGTTGGTTTTTTTAAAAGAAAGAGAAAATGGGAAGCAAATACGAGGAAGCCATTGCAGGACTCACGAAGCTTTTAAGGTAAAAGTTGCTAAATTTGACTCATTTTGATCACTGTAATTTTTTTTAACCGTACACAATAAGAGGAGGACATTGGTCAAGTTATGAAATCGGGGCCCACATGACGGCCGTGTTGCCCGTATTAGCCGTTCGTTTCGGGTTATCACCTACCCCACTCACCGTCTGTTAATTTCTTTTTACGTTGATTCACGATTATTTAATGAATAACTTAATCAAATCAATTGTTATACGGAGTAATGATGAAATTAGGGGATTTAATTGTTAATTTTCCTATTTTATAGTTTGGAAATTGAAAGTGAGTTTGATCAAGTAATGCCATGAATAATATTCCATTTTGTGAAAGGATTTTATTAAAGACAAGTTAATTACTTCATATTTCCATGAAAAGGGGAAAAAAAAAATATTGTAATTGAGTCTTTGACCTAAAGTCATTCTGCTTAATTATTATGTAATATATATGATCCATACATAATATGATCAAATTTCTAATTTTGGATTTATTTCGTAAAAATAAGATGGTACAAGTAATAATTTTTATAAAAGATAATTATATTAGTTATTGATGAGATTAAGCATATTAAATTGTAAATTAAAGGTATTAATTCATTATTAAAAAAAATTCAAGTAAGTCATATTATTTCAGGGTAGAGGAAATTATGATTACATACAATATTCTAATATATATGTAAAGTTGTACGTATTTATATATAATCATTTTGTTTGAAATTATTCATAAACCTTATCTTTGTGGATAAAAAGCACACGCACTTGATGGATTTAACAAAAATCATATGGAGTTTGTTTGTCTCATTGGTAGACTTTACCCTTACTACTTTACTACTTAGTATTTTTCAAAGTTATTATGTGGTTGAATTAGATTTGTTGGATATAGATGAATAGATCAATCAGTCACCCTATTTTCCTTCTTTCAAAATAATAAAGTCAACTTAATTCTTAAATATGGAATATGTGGTACTTTCTCAATCTCTAAATAACCTCAAATCCTCAATAGATAAATTATACTTTTGTTTTATAATTGAGGAAGTGATTGTATTTTCTTACAATATAATAGCATCAAATTAAATAATCTTGTTAGATTTATATCGATACATATTTACAATTTATCAAATTATAAATGACATAGTTAAAATTACTAATAGACTTTTTTTTTAAAAAAAAAAAAATTAATGGACCGAACGTGCACACAATATAATGGTTGTAAACATAAGGGATAAGGTGATTGCAATTGCAAGAAAGAAAGTTAGTTACTCTATAATTAATATTGCGTACAAATAACGAGATATCTGTTACATTGGAAACAGTGAGAAAGCAGGATTGGATGACGTAGCAGCCGCAAAAATAAAGCAGCTAACAGCCGAGTTGCAGGGACAGAAGGCCGAAAATGGCGTAGCCAAGGCTGATTCTACGGAAGTTTTTGATCCGGTTGAGCGCCTTAAGACCGGTTTCCGCCACTTTAAAACCGAGAAATACGAGTACGTTGCATTTTTTTTTTTTTTTTTCTGGACCCTTTTGTCTCTTATTCTTTTCTGATGTATTTAATTTTGGTTATTTCCTGCTACTCCATTTATTTATGATGATAATATTATTACGGAGTATGTTATTACTGTCATAAATTGAAAATGGATTTAGGTTATTTAGTTACTCTGCTTTAAATTGACTTTTAAAAGTATTGTGCATACTATTGTAATCATACATTAAAATTGAATCCATCCTTTATTTAAATACAAAGTATTCCGTACCTTTTTTCTTAGACGAATAATGTAGTAGTATGTAACACAATGTATAAAATGTATAAATATGTGCATATTAACTGTAATTTCCTTAAAATTTTAGATTATTTATAAATTTGATTGTAGGTTCTGGAACATGTGATTCAGAATAATGATTAAGTGATAATATTTGTATGGAGTATAATAAAACTAAATTATTGAACAAAATGGAATAAATTGTAGAATATGAATTGATAAGAATTAATGGCTGAAAAAATTTGGTTAGAATATGCTTTAGCATAGTTGCGCATTAATGATGAGAATACAGCCATTAGTACCCTTTTCATGTTGCAAGAATTTCTCACTTTTGAGTACTATGACCTTACAAGGACTAGATGAGTGTACTTTAACAAGAGAATCAAGAATCTGGCACATTTGCAGCTCCCCAAAATAGGGCGTAATGAATTAATGTGAACTTGTATTTTTCTCATTTTTATTTAATGTCCAGTAATCATTGGCACTGCTTGATTAATTAATTAATTTAAATACAAGTAGATTATAATTTGTACTTCTATTTGTATTTTTAGTTAGTACTGTACATAATGTGAAGATTAAGTAATTAATCTAGCTAAACTCGCTTTTTTGTTGTTTACTTATTTCCTTCTTACCAGGAAGAATCCTGATAGGTACCGTGAACTTGCCAATGGTCAAAGCCCTAAGGTGAGATATTTGATTAACAACAACAAAACCTTGTTCATACGACTAATATATAATTGTGCATTGCTTTGATAAATTTAAGGCACTAACAGTATCGACGATGTATGGTACACTTATCTATTTACTAATTTATCTGTTTAAAATAGCTGCGCTAGTTTATTTGAGAGAAAATATAAAAGTTAGTTTTATAAGTATACATAAGGAGACGCTTGTAGCAAGATTAAGATTCATATTGACTATGTTTAATTTTCTCATATATGCGGAGTACTAGTGAACATACAGTATATTTTAAATTTGGGTTTTTTTTTTAAAAAAAAAAAAAAAAGACATGGTGCAACCATGCAACAATAGCAGTTCAAAGTGCTTGATATTAGATAGTCATGGTTTTCTTAATACTTTAGATGAGAAAAATATCTTTTAAAGCTGATATGACTCATATCCATCACTGGTCACCATATTTCAATATTGTAATTAAAATACTATGAGTTAATTATAATGAGGTAATATACTAATGAGGTCTCAACATAGTGATTAAGACTGAGAAATGAAAGTTCAAAATGACCAACCTCCATTTATAATTTGTATTGCCCTTATGGACCATTTGCACCCAATTTTTTTTTTTTTAAAAAAGTAAAGAGATAAAATTATGCTACATACAATGCTTGCATAATCCATAAGTGAAGCACTTGTTAAAGGTATATGATACTAATGAAAATACTCCCAATAAACGGGAAATAAATGAGTAGTTGCCCTTAAATATATGATGCCTTTTGCTGTCACAAGGATATGATACCACCCACAATTGCTTACCATGTGCTTCCACACTGTAAAGAGGCATCATGCCCTTATTTAAGTCAATAAGGTGAAGAAATTACGCCTTATCTTTTCAATATTCTATTTGTGGGGAAATATAATGTGATATATTATGAATTTATGATATATAAATGCATAAGTCTTAACATTATTGGTGGTACATACGTTATGATATATAAAACGGGTTTGTATTTACAATTTGCTACTCAGCTTGTTAATAATATAAATTTAATACTTGTATAAAAGTGTATTTCAACTTTTCAAGTAGTGTATGTCAATTATCTTACTCCCAATATTGAGTTTAAATTCCGTTTACTAATCCTGTCTTTTATAATCTACATGTATTTCGAGTAGGAAAGATGTGTAAATTAGGTATCATCATGAGAAGGGATCTTCATACACTAATGCTATAATTAAGAGTTAGTTGTAAATCTTGCGAGTAACCTTTAAGAATATGGTTTAAATATAAATGCGTTGAATCTTCTGCCATTTTTTCTGTCAAAAGACCTACCTAATTAATTTTTTAACTATATAATCATGCACAACTAGCAGTTAAAATAGAAGTTTCAGATTCTTAATTCCAAAAAGATTGCAATTAAATAAAGTAATTAATGAAATTTTGTTTGTTGCACATGCAGTATTTGGTGTTTGCCTGCTCAGATTCTCGAGTTTGCCCCTCCCATATCTTTGATTTTCAGCCTGGGGAGGCCTTTGCTGTCAGAAATATTGCCAACATGGTCCCACCTTATGATAAGGTTATTTTTGTTACTTATGTACAAATTTTAATATGGTCCAAAAATGATGTGATTTCTTATTATTTATAACTTTAGTTATAGGATAATCTTGGTTAGTTATTATTGGTATAGATCATATTTTAACTTTGGATTTCATTGATTTTTTATATGCAGGAAAAATTTCCTGGCACTGGAGCAGCTATTGAATATGCTGTTTTGCATCTCAAGGTACAATTTTGATGTAATTGTCTTTCCTATCATAACGATCTCCTAGTGGAAGACCATAGCTGTTTGGAAGGAAAATCTTATTTTATACGGAGTACCATGATAACTAATTTTCTCATTTTTTTTTTTTTGTTATTTGATTTGTTAAGACTAAAGTGGTGAAAATAAATTTCATAAATAAATCGAAGTTTTAAATTGAAGTTAATATCCATTAACCTATACATTTGGTAAAAAGTACTCATATATATTAATTAAATAATACTCGACATTGGAAGAGAGTTAGCAAGGAGATGATTAGTATAAATAATAAAGCTAAACCTTTTTACATTATACTTTAGTAAGCAGGAATTCAATTAAAAAAAAAAAAAAAAAAAAAAGAAAAAAGTAAAAGGTCTGTTCCTAGCTGATCAACAGAGATTTTGGCCAAAAAAGTGGGGGAAAAAAAGTTTGCTCTGGTTTTTTCTTACATCATGTTATATCCGAAGAAGTTGTGGGGTTAAAACTAAAAAGGGCTTTGAAATGTTTTATTTTATAGGTGGAGAATATTGTAGTTGTTGGACACAGCTGCTGTGGAGGAATAAAGGGCCTCATGTCCATCCCTGATGATGGCAAAACTTCTTCGTAAGTACATACTCACTCTGTTTCAATAAAGGGCCTCATAACTACTGTATGAAACTCTCTTCGGAATTTTGATCTACCTTTACAGAGAAAGTATTTCGAAAAGTTGGTCAAGGAACTGTTTTAGTTTTTAACTAAATTTATTGGCGTACTTTTTTTTTTGTGTTTTGGTAATATTCTTGGCTTACTTGAGAATTCTGTTGTACAGCTTTACATGTATCAAGCAAGATATAGAGTTACGAAGTTTATTTATTTATTTATTTATTTATTTTAAGTTAGATGTGATCAAAGGGCAAACCAGGTCGTAATATAGCCAAAATAAAACTTGTTTATGCCCAAACCCGCTAAAATTAAGTTGGTCCGAACAAGTAACTCGAGTTCTCTAGGACTTGGTTAATTAATGAATGGGTGAACAAAGTTATGAATGAACTAACACTGTTTTTCGCCTGTTTATTTTGGTATGGCAGTGATTTCATTGAAAATTGGGTCCAGATCGGCAATCTTGCTAAGTCCAAGGTGAAATCAGAGCTCAGCTGTGCAGAGTTCATTGAACAATGCAAAAACTGTGAGAAGGTGAGTTTCCCTCCAATCGAACATCATCATCTTATTATTATTAGTCATGAAATTTGCAAATTATGCACAATTCTATAGACAATGCTCCTGAGTCCTGATATATATGATCCCAAGTGAAAATACATTTAATTTAGCCCTGAAATTAGCATCATACGACTTTTAAAGTAATTTTAACGATCCCAAATGAACGTGACTGTCACTTATAAGGGGTTAAAACAATGGAACCGCTAATTCTACGTGGTATTTGTATTTATTTATATTCTATTGTTATTTATGAGGGGTTTAGACATTTGTATTAATTTATATTGTATTGTTATTTATGAGGGGTTGAGACAATGTGACGACTAATTCTTAATACGTACTATATGAATGAATTGTATAAATGTGTCTAGTTGGCTAGTTATCATAAAATAAGCATCATGTAACTTGTAACTTGTTATATCAAGATCTTGTAATCACCATATTAGTGACAATAGCTAATTATAATTGCAGGAAGCTGTGAATGTCTCACTTGGGAATCTGTTGACATACCCATTTGTGAGAGAAGCAGTGATGAAGAAAACTCTAGCTCTCAAGGGTGCACACTACGATTTTGTCAACGGTCGTTTCGAGATTTGGAACCTTAACTTTTCTATTTCACCTTCTACTACAGTATAAAAAAATTAAACATACCAAATCAAAATGTTACCATTTTTTACTTTTCTTCCAGTTTTTTCAAGGTGTCCCTTGTTATGTATTCTGAGTATTGTGTAATATATGCAATTATGCATACAAATGCAGTAATAATAAACAAATTCTATCCTCACTTTTTCCCATCTAAACATCTTCTCGTATCTTTGTAAACTCAAATTAGTATGAAATACATCATTATCTTTACAGATCTTTATTTTCATCCATTACCACTTTAGAGGTGATATTGTGTTGTGGTGATAATTTATGAAAGGAAATTACATGCTTTAAAGATGGATTACCATTGTCATTGTAATGACCATAGAATATTATCCTCACAAATCAAATACAAGTTCATTACTAATACCACAATCATACGATTGATAGCTTATTTGCTTATTAAAGCGGTCATAACAATTTTAAGTTAGAACTTTTATGTTTTTTTTGGAAGGGAAACATCTCAAGGTTTAGGTTGGACTTTGGAGAGTTGATCATGGACCGATTGCTAGATTGGGGCTTAGCAAAAATGAAATGGGTCAGGACCATTTTAAACTTGCAACTAATTTTATGAGATTTGTATCATATGTAGAGGTGTCAAAACCACACCCGATCCGAAACGATTCGAAATCAATTCGAATAATATCCGATTCAGATTTTGACTTCTGTGGACACAATAATTTAATATGACACAACTTTAAAAATTAACCAAACCTGACCTAACCTTACTGGACTCGATCCGGACATCCCAATTGCCACCCCTAGTCATATACTCATATGGTAAAGCTCCCATAACATAATCCAAATAACTTCTCTCTCTTCCATTTAAGAGTAAGGATAATTTGTACAAACTTCAGATGTGGTTGGTGGGCCGAATATGCAGCCCATGACCTATTTGCTTTACAGGCCTTACCTTAATCGAATTGGAACCACTGGGCCTAATGTGCAACATATTTTACGGAGACTCTTCATTTCACAAAGTACCCGTTTCACACCCTTGACATTTGACACTGTGTATGAATTTAGAAATGTAAACACTATTATTTGGGCTAAAATCATGGGAATTCAATACAAAAATATTGGAACTAGACACTTAAACACATATTCATATTTGACAAGAATACCCAAATCCGAGGTACATACACTGATACACTCAAGCCTATACGAATAGGCTCGGAACAACCCGGCCCACCATCAATAGATTCAATTATTAGCCATACAAGTGTCACTCGTGTAGCCAAAAACAAAAACATGCACAAATCCAAAATTCATCACCAAATACGCAATCTATGATCATAAATATAGACAACAACAATACCACCCATTACTTTACACTGTTTACTGAAATTTTATCAATCAGACTATCAGATAACCAGAAAAATGGAAGCCATTCTTACCACCAAAATTCCTCTATCTCTCTCCTCTTCCTCCTCCACCTCATCCAACACACCTTCACTTTCTCTCTCCTCACTCTCAACCCTTTCCAAAACCACCAAAAAATTAAGTAACACCCTTATTTTTAAGGGTACCCAACATTGTAATTACCCTTCTTCCCTTAAAATTTGTGCAATGTCACAAACTGCCCCTGCTTCTGTAGAGCCCTCAACCATACCTACTGAGATGAAAGCTTGGATTTATGAGGATTATGGAGGTGTTGACGTCCTTAAATTTGGGTCTAATGTTAAAGTTCCTGAAATAAAAGATGATCAAGTTTTGATTAAGGTTGCTGCTGCTGCTTTAAACCCTGTTGATTTTAAGAGAAGGCTTGGCAAGTTTAAGGCCTCTGATTCACCTCTTCCTGTAAGTTTATCTTCTCTCTTTAGCTCAGTTTGTAATTCCTCGGTTTGGGTTTGTTTAATTTATTGTCACGTTACTAGTTTGAATTACATTATCAACGTAATTTTTAATTCAGCACAGCACGGAAGTGGTAACTTATCTTGTTTTATTGCTAGTTGCATTTTGACTTGTACCACCTAATATTGAATTTTGAGACTTACCTAGTAATGGGATTTATACTGCTTATTAAATTTGTGTGACATATACTCAAATCAAAAAGCGCACAGGCTCATTCTACGTAGTGTAAGTCATGTAGTCATACAGTTAGGCAATGTTATCAAGCTCAAATGTACATACTTCATACTTGTGAGAGATATATTGATTCAATTCTCGATATTTCCTAAGGAATATATCAGTCGTAGGTGGTATATAAGTTCCAAGCTGGAACCCTATGATTTGATTAATTACTCCGTACTAAAACACTTGATGAAAATGATATGTAACATTCGAGATTACTCTATACTTTTGATGTCGTGTTTGGATTTTGCGTCTAAAAAAGAATGGAAATTTTAGTGCAGACTATCCCAGGCTATGATGTTGCTGGTGTGGTGGTAAAAGTTGGTAGTCAAGTGAAAGAATTCAAGGTAGGGGATGAAGTTTACGGAGACATCAGTGAGAAAGCACTTGATGGTCCCAAGCAATTTGGCTCATTGGCAGAATATACAGCTGTGGAAGATAAGTTGTTAGCTTTGAAGCCTAAAAATATTGACTTTGTACAAGCTGCTGGTCTCCCGTTAGCTGTAGAGACGGCCTATGAAGGTCTCGAAAGGGCTGGGATGTCTCCTGGAAAATCGATCCTTGTTTTAGGTGGGGCAGGTGGTGTTGGATCTCTTGTAATCCAGGTATGCTACATCTATTACTCTAGTATATATCCTAATGTTTAGTGTAGTTTCGGTGTTGGATGAGGAGATAATTTGATATTTCCTTTTTCGATTGATTTTGGGGCAGCTTGCGAAGCAAGTATTTGGTGCCTCTAGAGTTGCAGCCACTGCTAGCACCGGGAAAATCGAATTTTTGAAGAGTCTTGGTGTTGATCTTGCGATTGATTACACCAAAGAGAAGTTTGAGGACCTTCCAGAAAAGTTTGATGTTGTTTATGACACAGTTGGTATGTTTATGCTTTGATTAAAACCTCTGCTATCTCTGCTGATAAAATTTGTGACAGGAAATTATCAGTTATGATGCACTTAAATAAGCAACATTTAGGATTAGTTTTCCCTGGCATCATAAGTATCAATTCAAATCATCATCTACTTAAGCGCTGAAATTTAATGTCGAAATCAGTCTTAACCAGCAACAGCATGTAGCAAAAAAAAAAACATTGCTAAAACAGTTCAAATCAATTTTGATCGGTAAAATTTGAGATTGAACATTAAAAAAGAAAGGAAAAAAAAACAATCAGTTCAGTAATTTTCAAGTATAGAGGACCTTATTCAAGGCTTGAATATTTTTGCACTTAAGAATAATGTCAAATCTGCTTCTTCAGTCAACAAAAATCATAGAATAAATGCTTAGAGGCATTTCTCCATTATAAGGCTTCTGATTTCAGCTCTTATAACTTTTAGTAATAATAGAATTATATCCATCCAAACTGCACCAGAACTGGCACGTCCTTTACCATAGTAATGCAGAATAGTGAACATCTTTTGCATCACTAGTTTCTTTTGTAACTCCTTGAAATAACAATTCCCATTTGCCTCATTAATTTTGTTTCAACTTTCATGAACAACAGGTGAAGGTGAGAGGAATGTAAAAGCTGTGAAAGAAGGGGGAAGTGTGGTGGTCTTAACTGGTGCTGTCACACCACCAGGGTTCAGATTCGTGGTGACGTCCAATGGAGAAGTACTGAAGAAGCTAAACCCCTACCTCGAGAGTGGGAAGGTGAAGCCAATAATCGATCCTAAGGGCCCCTTCACATTCGACAAGGTTGTTGAAGCCTTCAGTTACCTTGAAACTAATCGCGCTACTGGAAAAGTAGTCATCCATCCCATTTCCTAAGTTCAAAGTTTCAAGTTCTAACAGTATGGTCTGTATCTAGATTCCGTAGTGCTCAGGTGGATCTAGTTGAAATTTGTGATCAGGGAAACATGTTACTATAACTATGAGGAATGAGTGTCAATCTCATCTTGCGGTTCGGTTTGGTCATATTCATATGCTAATTCTTGTTGTATAAACTTTGTTGCTTCATCTATGCCTTCAGTCTTTCCAATGCTCTAGGGTGTGTTCTTTTATTCAGACAGTATACTACAAGAGGGGGAGGGTGAATCGTAGTACGTTCTTTAGTGTCTACTTCTCAAGGAATATAAAACTAAAAGCTTAAAGAAACTTTAAATGTGCAAAGTAGATTATATGAGGCCCAACTGGAAGCAAAGTGAAATGTTACTTAAAAGATAAATGTATAGTACGAAGTACATTCAAGTTAGACTAAAAAGCCAAAAAAAAATGTGCAAAAAAATGAAAAGGCAATCAAAGTTCATGTTATATCAAATAGACGATGAGATCAAAAATTACCATGAGTCCATGAGGATCAAAACTCATATGGTTTGCCTTCTATTCCTCATCCTCGTCCATGTAATCATGCCGGGTCCTTCCCAATCAATTTGAGAAACAACTGATCCATTTCCAGACCCATCAACAGATGCAATGATATAAGCACCATCAAACTCAACTTTACAAGTTAAAGAGGTCCTTGGAACCTTGAACAATCTCCTACAGAACATATATTCTGTCCAAAGTTTATAACTTCCGCCCTTATCATAGTCGGCATAGCTAGAAATGTCAAGCCTGTCCAAAACGTTTGCATTGCTTAAAATATATTTTACCAACTTGTCCTTTGATCCCCGATATCTCAATGTTCTTGAGCCTACTTAACAAATGGGAAGGTATTGGGGCATCCCAAATCACATGTTCCCCAGAAACAATCAAGCTAAGATGGGTGAGATTATGAAAGTTGAGCCACACATTCGCGTGGTCTATACCATTAACACTATTGAATAGAGCAAGATTATCCACCAAATGCATGGACTTAACACTCGAAATCCCTCGAAGAAACTCCGGTAAATGAGTAAGATCACTTCCATCAAAAAGAATTTGAGGCCAAACCCCAATATTGGCCTTGTGTAACACACTCGGTTTACTAACAAAACTATATAATGCAACACAATTGTTAATCTCAATGTCCTCCAACAATGGTGTATCAATCACAAATTTGGTACTACGCGATTATCCAGTCATTGAAAGGACCAATGACGCGATGATCCAAAGGCGGAGCCAACGGCGGGATAAGGTGGAAGTGGCGGCGGCGGATTTGAGGGGGAGGAGAGAGAGGATTTCGAGCAAAAGATGTCAGGGAGTGAGCTTAATCTGTCTAATTCTGAAGGATTATGGTTCAAATTTGGTCTGTGTTTTTTGGGGGAATTTGAGAGAGTTTCTGCCATTTTTGTGGGGATGATGGTTTAGGTTCTGGGTTTAATTGGAGTAGTAGGAGATGATAGGTTTCGCTTCATTGTTCATTCATCGAGTAAAATGGTTGTAGGGGAGGTTCCTAGAGTGCACTCATAAATTGACATTTGGTGCTTCATTCAAATTTCAAAGTTTAGTTGCCCTATGGCCCCTATCCTACTTACCAAAAGGGGTGTGCATAAATAGACCCGGATCGAAATCAAATTAAAATAAATTGAAACGAGCCGGATTGAAATTTTGTATGATCTAATGTATTCTGAAACTTGGGCTATATTGAGCATAACAGGGTATCCGGTAAAAATTCTTGGAACCGAAACCGGAACCTGTTGCAATAGGTTCCTCAAAATGGGAACCGGAATCGGAATCTGTTAAACAGGTTCTTGGAAATTGGGAACCGGAACCGGAACCTACATATTTCGATTTCGATTCAGGGTACCCTGTCTTGTAATGTACTTACTAACTTTTTGCAGATTTTTTTAATTGGTTGATCACTAATTTATAATGTTTACAACTCGCAAAATAAAATAAAAACTAATAGTAGTTGTCTAACAAATTTAATACGTATATTTATAATTGTGATTTTGATATTTATTATTTAAAAAATAAGTTAGAATTGGTGTATAATTTAATATTAAATGATACTTTTAACAGGTTACAGGGTACCCTATAGGTTCCAGTTCCAAAAAATTGAGAACATGAACCGGAACCTGTTGCAATAGGTTCTCCATTTTGCTACTCGGATCCGGAACCTGTAACCTGCGATTCCTAACCGGTTGTGGTTCCAATTCAGGGTACCCTAACTTTTTGCTCACCCCTACTTTGAACCGCAATCCTAAGTCCTACTAGTATTTGTTGTCATAAGCTATCAACTACCTGCCAATGATGTTCTTTTCTGAAACTCACAGACCAAGTTCTTGATGGCATACTTTTTGTTATACTTCAACTCTCGCGGGAACACCAAGTTCTTGACAAATGTGAGCAATACGTGGAATTTTTCGTTGATTCTTTTTTCATTCGATCATAAAAGCGTTTATCTATTAGCACATAGAATTTCGTAGCAATTGGTTCAAATTATGCAAAAGCTTCATGTTCAAGTTCGTGCTCGAATTGAGAAGATAATTCTATGCATAAGGGGAGAGCTAATCGACATAGAAAGCCACAAAAACTTTCAAGTTGGCGATTTAAACCAAACTAGATAAGCTGTTCTTAATCCCATTCAATTACTGTCATATATCATTAATTTCTTATTTAATACATGTTGAGACGAATTTAATAAGATTTCTTTTGATAATGTTTTATCTTATACATTGATGCACAATTAAAGTCAAATTTAACCAAATAAGATAACCAGACCAAATTAGAAATATTCAGACTAAGACATCTTATTTTAGACGAAGAGAACAAAGTCTAAGTAATGGTCATGACACAAAGGACAATGGTGAGTTAGTGATCCTCTTCCATGGTAGGTGAACATCCACGACTTGCACAGTTGCACTCATGGTTGAACAAATCTATGTGCATGAATTTTGATTATATATCTACCGTGTAACTTATATATACCATGCACATGAGGTTAATTATTGTTGTGGAAGTATAGGGGGTTTAAGAAAATTACACTTGCAATTTATACAATATTTTAAGTAAGGGACGAGAAAGCAAGTCGGATGCTAGCATATAAACTATTTATAATTCAATACAAGGTTTGTGGGTAGCCCCATGGCAGATAGATTGCATATTCATAGAGATTTGCTCCCTATTTTAGCATGATGACAATTGAAATATTTGTCACATTTATTGAGAAACAAAAATTCAAATATAAGGTTTGTGGGTAGCTCCATGGCAAATAGATTACATATTCACAGAGATTTGCTCCCTATTTTAGCATTATGACAATTGAAATATTCGTCACATTTATTGAGAAACAAATCAGGCATCGAGTGTATAGCTATAAACCTATAATGTCGGTCATTAAGTGCTAGACTATCTTGATTATTCCTTGTACTCAATAGTAACTCTAGTTTATTTCCTAAATCGTATTATTATTTCCGATGCATTAGGTGTTTCCTTCGTAATTACTACCGTTAAACAAGGGTGATCTAGGAAAAAAAATAAAAAATAAAAAATAAAAATTCATCCGACGGGCCACGACTTTTCTCTCTTTTTAAGTTTCCTTGTATTTAAAGCTGAAAGAGCCCAACACACTGCGGTTGACGGCTACCTTTCAAGATCTCAACTTTGCGCTTCATTCTTCATCGTTTTTCACAATTTCCAGGTGATTTTCGAATTTCTGAATACATTCATCATTCTGTACTTTGATTCTCAGTCATCTATTTTGCTCTTTTTGTTTTTTTATTGTTAATTGATTCGAATGTTGCATGTTCAGGGTTTTGTTTTGTTCAATTTTATCTAGGAATTATCGAGATTTTTCTTTTGCACTTTTTTCCCAAAGATTGTGGTTAAATTAATTTATTTCTGAATTACATGCTTTAGATTTCGTTGTATTTTTTCTAAATTTCCGATCTTTTATGCGTAATCTTGTTTTTTCTAGAAAAAATAATTAACTATAAAAAGCAAAAACAGCTTAGGGTTTATGTATCTACTTGTGATTGAATTAGGCTTTATTAACCTATTACGACTTTACGAGTATGATATATAGTCTAATTCATATACTTTAATTTGTATTTCTGGGAAATTATATGAATTTAATTGTAAAATCAGTTAGAATTTTGTCTTTCTTTAAGGTGTAAGACGTATTGGAGACCTTATTTGATTTTGGAGCTTTTTAACTTGTATTCGAAGTGTGTGAAATACCGTCTTATATGTCCGGCATTTGCGAATTAATGAGCAATGTCAGCATGTAAATCACTCCCTATCAATACCGGAGGTTGGGAGGAGGTGCTTTTTGCGATTGTTGCATTGTTTGACTTGAAGTTTTCGTTGTCGTTTTATATATGGTAGGTGTCTACTAGATGGCTGAAGCAAAGCAAGAGATGAGGAAACCGGTTTTCACCAAAGTTAATGAGCTACGACCTGGTACTTTTGGCCACAACCTCACTGTCAAGGTTGTTGATTCGAAGTTGGTTATGCAGAGGGGCAGGTCTGACGGACCTCAAGTGCGCCAAATGAAAATTGCTGAATGTTTGGTCGGAGATGAGACTGGAATGATAATTTTTACTGCTAGAAACGATCAAGGTAAGCTATTATGTAGGTGTGAATTGTGTTCAGATCCTGTAGGTTAATGTGTTTAGTCCATGGTATCATTTTATTTTTGTTGGCATAAGATTTGGCTATTTAGTTGATGCTGTTTGATTGGTGCATGGTGCATTATTATCTTCCCTCCATGGGTGTATCGTTTGGAGTGTTTCTTGAATCCCTGTTCCAATTTTGATTCAATTTTGTTTTCGTATCGATCTTGCTAGCGTGTTACTCCGCAGGGTGTTCTTCTAACCATTACATTTAGTTTGAGAGCGTCTCATTTCATCAATGATCTTTTTGTTAAACATTTCATTTGAGCAATTAGCTTTGGCTACTTGATTGATAACTACATCTTATCTTATTTGTTCAACTGAGATAATCTGCATCATTATTAGCCTAATAATTTATCTGCAATACGTACATTACAACAACATTAATGGGCACAAGATGCATTTTAAGGGCTCCCTGCTTCATTTTTTTTCCTTGCATGTTTGACTCTTCTTGCACACCTGTAATTTCCTTGCTTCTCTTCTAAAAATTCACTCCTCGAAA